CTGAGACCCCAGAAGCAACTGGTACTCGTCTGTGCTCTGTGCCCCATCTGCTGTGCATTGTTAGATTGTGTGATTTTGTCTTGTCACCCGTGTGAGGGTGTGCATGGAAGCAAAGTCTGGAGCCATTTCTCTTCGTTTTTGGATTAATTTCTTCCTAGCGCCACACATACACTCCAGAGCTAACCCAGTTTTTGATTTAAGGTCTTCAGAAGACCTTAAATCAAAAGTCTTTAACTTAAGACTTAAAATGTCTTAAGTTGCTTTAAGGACAGCAACTATTTGGGGTCAAGGTCACTGGCACACATGCCTAGAGACCATGGAAAGTTACTAAGACCCCGCTACATGGCTAATGACGGATGGGAAACAGTTCAGCTATGTGTGACACTTGCTTTCCATGAGCCGTTCTACGGGAATCCTGTACAACCCCTTCCTAAATGAGAGAAAAGAGACAGCGTTAACAGGCAGAATGCCAGCCATGGTGGTCTCTCTTTCTGGTGACATCGCCGCATGTGACTGAGCTGCCGCCGACTTAGCGGCCCTAAGATGCCGTCTGCACATTGCCCGCTTCTGCAAATGGACTCTCACCCAAGACACCTTAGGCTGAGTCTGTAGGTGGCGTGGTTGCAGTGACCGGGGCAGAACAGAGTTTCAGATCACATGTTGAGATAAAATTTTTAGAGGGCCTATTTCACAGGTGAATTCGTCACAGAAAACTTATGATCCCCCATCTGACTAAGACTCAACCAAAGGTAACCAACCTATTTCTAACCCATCTATTCTCATGTACAAGTGAGACCAAACAGTAGTTAAGTGCCACTAATAGAAGTGGGTCTTTTTGACAACAAGAATATTTTTTTTAAAAAAAACAAAGATTCATTTATTTATTATTATTATTTTTTTGTGTGTGTGCATGAATTTATGTGCGTGCAGAAACCTGGATTTCTGGAACTGGAACTGGAGCTGCAGGTGCTTGTGAAGTGCAGTGTCAGTGCTGGTACAAGCCCAGGTCCTCTGCGAGAGCAGTCAGTGCTATGACCGGTGACCCACCTTTCCAGCCTAAGAGCTAAAGCCTCATGTCAAGCAATAGGCTCCGATAAGCGTCGATGCCCGAGGACGACTGTGATCCCAGCTATATCATCTGTCTGCCAAAGAAACAGCTTCTGATCCATCACATGGGGAATGCTGGGTGGAGGAAAGTCATAAGGCTATGACAATACCGTGTTTGGATCAGAGGGACACTGAGGCCAGGTGCCACCCTCCCTGGGTACCTGTCCAGATGCTTTTGTCCTGGGTGTGCAGAGTGGCCGAGGCAGCTGGGCTTGGCTGTACATTATGTCTGGTGAAGCAGATTTTGGGGTAAATGGTTTTGAGCCTGTGCATCCTGGATGAAGACATGCATTGATCCTCCCATGTATGTGTGGCTTCTACTTGAAATATGTGTAGTGAAACTCAAGTTCTAAGAACACTTGACCCATTTTTATGTAGCAGTGTTTTTAAAGATTCCTACAACTTAAAAAAATTCTTTGTTTAATGAAAAATGGACGGTGAGTTTAAAAAAAATATCCGCTGTGACTGCTAAACAGAATAGTAAGAGTGATGGAAAACTTCTTGTGGTGTGTGTGTGTGTGTGTTTATGTGTGTGTGTATGTGTTTTTATGTGTGTGTGTATGTGTGTGTAAGTGTGTGTATGTTTATGTGTGTGTATGTGTGTGTGTATCTGTGTGTGTATGTGTACTGCATGCATGCAAGTGTGCGAGCTGGTGAGCTGACCCATTCAGATACATGTGGAGGTCAAAGGTTAATGCCAGGTTGTCTTCTTCAGTTGGAAACTAACTTTTTGAGACAGGAAGCTTTCACTGGACTTTGCTCTCTTTGCTTGGCCGGCTGCCCATCAAGCGGCCAGGATCCATCCGTGTCCACCACGCAGAGCTGGGGTTATAGACATGTACTGCCACTCCTGGCTCTTCACTCAGGTGCTGGGATTTGAACACAGGTCCTCATACTTGGCCCACTGAACCACATCCCCTGCCCTGAAACTCATCTACTTAGAGTCTAGAAGATTGGTCAGCTCTTCTACTTCCAACATAATTATCCCAGTGACGAGGGCGATGGAAAGAGTTCATGCATTCATGCTTTTAGAGGAATCTGTAGTTACTTTCTGGGCACCTAAATTCAGTGATTAAGTGAGATGGACAGGAGCTGACATTGTGAACCAGATGTGGCTAGAGGATCCAAGTCTGAGACAGGTGAGAGCTGAATGCCTTGGGGTGAACAGGCAGGAGGCAGCGAGGGAGAGAGGAACAGGGCCTGACCTCACTCCCCGACTAGCCTGGGTAGAATTCAGGGGAACAGCAGAGGTCATGCGCTTCTGACCCAGGGAAGAGTATGACAGAACAGCATGGAGAGAACATCATCGCTGGGGCCTTAAGCGCACAGCAATGCTGTTTCCTTTCCGCAAAAGAGGACTGGGTAATTATCTAAATACTTAATGTTTAAATATTTCAAAAGATTTAATTTCTGAAACTCATATTGGTCCACTGATTCATATTGCACTTAAAAAACAGGAATCAAACAGCTACAGTCATGTGATATGAAAGCACCATGACCAAACTGTCCACATTACTTCAAATTATATAACAAGGTGCATCAATCATGAAAGTCACCAAAGTGAAGAACCACGAGTCGGACATGGATGTGTCTGTCAATCTAATGCTACGTGAACGCAACGTAGATTGTATTTGAATTTCTATAATGGTCAGAACACTCTCAACTAATGTGACTCACTGTCCTGTGGAAATGGAGCTTAATGTGCTGGTTGGCAGGAGCAGCTCAAGACAAGCAGCCCCCACCCTGCCCCCTGCCCCCTGCTCCCCTGCTCCCCTGCAGCTTCCTCTATTGGTTTGCACAGAGTTGCACAGGGCATGCTTCAGACAGAACAGAAGCAGGGAGTAAGTTCAGAGATGTTAATCATTCTCTGGAATAAAGATAAACTAGGCAGCTAGTGTCTCCACACAGATAATCAGGACTTCATAGCAATACTCACCAACAATCAACTCAGACTAAAGAGTCAAATTTTGACCAAAAGTCATGACAAACTTTTAAAATCTGTCATTGGAGATTATCACTAGAAGTACTCTTGACAACTCATAAATGGAAAATTAAAAACTTTTTAAGAGAAAAAAAGTAAATTTTGAAGCATGTACTAAACATTTAAACTAATTATGTATTTTTAACCTTGCTTCATAGTTTAGTTCCAAAATTCTGTTTTTGTGTTCAAATTGATATCACATGCATTCAAACTTATTCTGAGCAAAGAAAGAGTATGTAATTTTTTGATTATTCATTGTCTTAATTTCTCTACTTTTCCAAATAATACATGGTACAATTTTGAAAGATCTTTACCATTCAAAAAATTATCAGCTGTCTGTAGTGGCACAAACCTTCAATCCCAGCACACAGGAAGCAGAGACAGGAGGATCTCAGTGAGTTTAAGGCCAGCCTGGTCTACATAGGGAGCTCCAGGACATCTCAGGCTAAACAGAGAAAGCCTGCTAAAGAAGAAAACAACAACAAAACATTTCTTCCGTCTTTTGTCCTCAAACACTGGTGTTTGTGACATTGTCATGAGTTTTCACTGGATAAGCACATCTACCAGAAACAGGGAGGAGACTCCAGGCTGCCCTGATACTCATAATTCAATTGGCAAAGCAGTTTAAAGTAATATTTCAGAATGGTATCACTGAAAACAGTGGTTCTTAACCTTCATAATGTGTGACCCTTTAATACAGTCCCTCATGTTGTGATGACCCCCCCAGCCATGAAATTATGCTTTTGCTACTTCATAACTGTAATTTTGCTACTGTTGTGAATCATAATGTAAATATCTAATATGTAGGACACCTGATTATGTAACTCCCAAAGGGGTCACGACCCACAGGTTGAGAACCACTGACCTAGACTAATTTATTTCTGTGGCAGAGGAGGAGGAAAAGGAATAAGAGGAAGCAGAGAGAAGGAAGAAGAAGATGGGGAGGAGGCTGACTTCACATTAGAGGAGGTGGGGAAGAAAAGGAAGGGGAGAAAGAGGAGAGGAGAAAAGGGAAGGAGAAGGAGGAGGGGGAGGGGAAGGAGGGGGGAGGAGGAGGGGAAGGAGCCGGGAGAAAGAAAGCCTGGGGAAAGCAATTTCCTTGGGTTTAGGGTGAAGGCATCTCTGAAAGTGCAGCACACATATGCCATTTTCCTTTGACTTTTACTGATTTTTTTTTTTTAGCATTCCCTTCTCACAAAGACTGCAGCAAATATGAAATATCCTGCTTCTTTCGGTTTTAGTTTATTTTGCTTAAATAGTCTCTAAGGCAGGGAAGTCACCACAATGTTTAGACACATATCTTCCCCAGATGAAGCTGCAACTTATCTTGTTATCTTTGGACCCCTGTTGCCTAGCTCAGGGGCGGGAACATGGGACAGCTGAAGAGGGAAGGAGCAAACAGTCCAGGGTGAGTGGTTTTAGTTAGTGAATCTGTCCCGGCCTTCTACTGATGGGTCTCATAATCTTCAAGTCACCAGACAGTGAGGGAAGCCAGCAAGCCCTTCACCTTCAACCATCCACCCAGGCCCCCAGACTAAAATAGAAACTTTCCACTTGGATCTCTGCTGTGGTTTCTATTCTGAACAGCATCCCACCGAAAGATAACCAAGATTGAATATAAATTTAACTTTATGTTCTTTGGGAACTCGGTACGTCTTGCCCTAAAAACTCAAAAATCTTCCAGTCATTGACTGCTCCAAGATCTCCTGTGGAGCCAGAAAACTGAGCACTGGCATGGGAACTCACTTCATGCCGTAGACACATCTCAAAGGTCATCCTTGAAATACTGGTTTGCCAACAGATAAGTTAGAAAACAGTCTAATATATAACAATAACAATCTTAAACCGTCAATGGGCTGTAAGACTACAGAGCAGGCATCAGAGGTCAGCAAAGTCCACAGGAGTTTCCTACCTTAAACACATTGATGGGGAGATCAATGACGACGTAGATCAGGTCTCCTAGGGCCAGGCTGGCTATGAGTGCATTGGGGCCATTCCTCATGCACTTATTCTGGTAAATGATCCTAAGCAGGGTTGCGTTCCCCACCATTCCCACGATGAAGATGGTGCAGGATATCACAGTGTTAATGTATTTGAAAGCTGTCGTGATTTTAGTCTGCTGTGGGCAATAGCTACGCACTGAGCCATTGCTGGGCAGGGCCAAATTCGTAGGCCGATGAGTGGTTCCCAGGAAGCTCAGCTCTGTCCCCGGATAAGGGGTGAAGTCCCCCGCTTGACTGCTTAGGTTCGTGCTGTGTCTCTCAGGATTGTCACTGATTACTCCTCCCACCAGGGCTAGCCAAAGGGATGTCGTGAGGCAAAAAGTATCCATCTTAGTGTGGATTTGAAAAAAAAGTCCTAAGTTGTTTTTACACCTTTCTTCACCTGGAAGAAAAAAAAATAGGAAAAATTCTTATTATTATTTGCTACAGAATCTATCAGCCCCCAAAGGCAATGACTAATTTAATGAAAATGTAAGTCATATTTGGTAATTGGATATGATATATCTATTTCAGCCTATCCATGGCAGATCAAAATAGAAAAGACCAAAGATCTATTACAGCAGGAAATGACCCCTCTCGCCCCCCCGTCTGAGATCCAGCTCCAGCTCTTTCTCCATCCAGACCATAATACAAATAAAGATATTTGTTTCCCTCAACAACAACAGGCTTTTCTCTTCATTTGATCTAAGAAGAACCTGAATCTTCCAAAAGTGAGACAGAAACATTTTTGGTAAAAGAGGAACAGTTGCTCCGTATTGAGGCACAAAAGACAAGAATCTAATTCTGTGACTTAAATTTCAGTATCCCCCAGTGGGCGTTGTTTTGCACATGGCAGGAACGAGCAGGGCCACAGTGTAGTCTAGAGCGTTGTTAAAGCCAGACGTCTGCTCGGCGCCATGAGTACATCTAACAATTCAGGTTTTAAGGAACCGTGGAATAAAGTCGGGGCTGCAGGAGCAGCGCTGGCTGCGCACGCTCACACCTCCTGCAGCGCTGGCTGCTCACGCTCACACCTCCTGCAGCGCTGGCTGCACACACACCTCCTGCAGCGCTTGCTGTGCATGCTCACACCTCCTGCAGCGCTGGCTGCGCACGCTCACACCTCCTGCAGCGCTGGCTGTGCACGCTCACACCTCCTGCAGCGCTGGCTGCGCACGCTCACACCTCCTGCAGCGCTGGCTGCGCACACTCACACCTGCCTATATCCAACAGCTCAGAAAGGAGGAAAACGTGACTGATGAAAAGATTTAGTTTGAAACCCTTGACCATGAATGTGCAAAAATCCACATATTTTAGCACACTCCCCTTTCTATGTGCCTCAGCAACCACCACGTTACCCGTCAGTGGGCACCATGTGAGTGACAGGCTTCCCCAGGATGGTGCACTGTTTGGTTTGCCAAGGGCTAGCGAGCTTTATACGATCCTGCAAGCATCCTATGTAGCTAGGTTTGCGAAGATGTCACATGCTGCTGCTATCTAGTCCATGAAGTCATACACAGGACAGGGAGGCAGAAAAGAAAGCCCAGGAGCTCACGGAGGTCACCCATGGTGGCAAATTCACAATTCAAGGGTTTCAAACTAAATCTTTTCCTCAGTCATTTCTCCCCCCTTTTGAGTTCATCTGACTCCAAGTCTGAACTTTACCCACGAGGCCTTCCCGTCTCGTTTGCATGCTTTATTTGTGTCTACAGCATACTGAAGATGTCTCCAGAGTTTAGATGAGGCAGCAGCCTGGGAGGGAGGTCAGGTGTTATCAAAAGACTGTTCTGTCACCTGCAAAAAGCACACGGTCCCTGTTGCCCAGTAATCTAGGTTTCTCCTCTAGCACTAAAGAAAAGACACTAGAAACCCAAGGATGGCTGGTGGTGAGAAGCTAGCAATCAAAGGCAAATAGCTCCTTCTCTTCCAGCGTTCTGTCTTTTTTTATTATTATTATTAATCTGTACATGAAGACCGTAGCTTCCTTTATGGGCAGTGGTATGTATCGAAGGCACACACCGCTAATCCTAAATTTTAAGATTCACATTCTTTTTCTGGACTCTGCTCAAGGCTGTAGCTGACTACTTTTATGAAGTTTGGTAGCTGTCGTGGGGCATCACTAAGTTGAGGCTTAGTCGTTATGTGGACAAAGCAAGACATATTGACTGGTACAGGAGGTGTGAGGCCAGCCGAGCGCCATGGCCAGCCGAGCGCCATGGCCAGCCAAGCTTCCGGAAGCAACAACAGTGTTTTACACATCGCACCTGGCAGATGCCATCTGTTTCTTGGATTTGCTTTTCCAGTAGAGCAGATAGAAGAACATCTGCCAACATCTTCACTTCCCTTGAGAGAAACGGGCCGTGAGGACAGAGTGGCAGGACAGCCATCCCGTCTCATAACTGAGTTGTAGGATTCCACGTGCTGCTATGATTTCAAAGTGAGGAACCTGCCACCATCCTGTCGCCCCGTTACTTCTGCTCACCCTGAATTATAACTCATTTACAGACTTCCTCTCCTGTCTCTTACAGAACAGTCTCTGGCCGACTCATTAGTAGGCCCTTCGAGTATCTTCATTACCCTTCCCAGATGGAGGCCAGAACCCCATGCACAGAGTTAGTTAAAATTTGTCTCTTTGAATAACGAAGGACAACACAATTCTTTAATTTCTTGACTGCTTTGTGATTAAAGGTTCCTAGTTTCCCAACGGGGATGGAAGTAGTAGTTTTCCTACAACTGAGAGGCAGAGGTCTTTTCTATAACCAGGAGAGCTTCATGAGCTACTAAGATCATCCAGGAGGTGACTTCATGAGCCACTTGGTTGCCACTGGCCCTATATCCTTCATAAAGCACCTCACTGGTGCCCATATGAGATTTCTCCATCAGCTTTGGGTGCTGAGAATGTCAAAGCCATGACTTCTCATCATGGCGTGAGTCAGCCACCATCAAAACATTTTCCTTCCCTGCTTTCCCTCAGCAAAGAAACTACCAAAGAACTCCCGACACCTCTCTCAGTTCTCCACATCTAAGGGACATCTGTCAAAAACATGTGGCTGCCATATTGTCACAGAGTGAAAAAACACAAACCCAAATGAAAGAAACCTCTTTCAAATACATGCTCTCCCAAGGACGGATCTGGGGCTCATTTTCGTGCATTCGAGTCAAGCTTTGTTGGGCATCTTCTGTTGTCACAACTCTGAAGAAGCAACCCCATTCAAGCCTGAAGGATACATCTAAGGACTCAGCATTCTTCCTTTGGTGGGTTGGAGATTTCGGAGTGCTTTAACAAATGTTGATTGCTTAGCACTTTACCTGTTTAACATATCAGACTCTCAGGACAAAAGTTCATTCACCATTAGCTATTTGGAAATTCCCATGGCACCCAAACTGCACATGTTTAGAACAGGTAATTTGCAAGATACTGCTGCCAGGGTATTTCTCAGTTGGCCAACACTTTAAAAACAGATGGTTTAGTGTGTGTGGGGTTGTCCATAAACGACTACAAGGGGAGAAAAAAAATCAAACTAAGAACTTTTCTTTGAAGTTCTCTGTGGTTTTGCTCTCTGACGCTCCTTGGTGGCACTGTCTGACTTTAATATGCCTTCACCCCACGTCTGCTGGGGTGAGGCCATTAGGGCGGTGTAAACAGAGGTGGCTTATCTGCAGACTGCTAGTGTTCCACACGTGAAAGGCAACAAGTGCCCTTTAAAGGACAGTAAGAGCAAACAGCCCAGACCTCCAGCAACAGCCAGATCCCCAAGACTAGCAGCAGTCGGGGTGTGAGGAGGGGTTCACAGCTGTAGGATCTTCACAGTAAGTGTCCTTGGCTACTCACACCCTGGATGGGGGATGCAAAGAGGCTGCCCCGCCAACTTCACCAGTAGGCTTTGGAGCAAGCTTTAAGCAATGATGCTACCGAAAGCTCTTTCCTGCCTGTGGAGAAAGAGACACCCCTGGCCCAACTTCCTTTTCCTAAAAATCAGAGTCTTGCCTGGGGATGTAAAATGCTTTTGATCTGTGGTTAAAGCTCATCACCCACTCCCACCCCGCAGCGCTCAAGATTCCCAGGAAGGTGACCGACACAGGGCACCAGGGCAGGTAAGAGCTAGCCCCGGGTGCGGCCTTTCGCGGGCTCTGCGCGACACCCCAACTCCTCCCAGTCGATAGCCCCAGGCTGCGACCCTACTCCTTGTCCCAGTTCTGGTTCCCATTAAGAAAGACTAGAACCGACCTTGAATCTTCTTGTATGGTCGCAAGCAGCGCCAGGTCCGCGCCTGGGCCAGACGGAGCCGGAGTGGGAGAACAAGGGTGGCGCGCAGGGTGACGGGTGGCCGGGGCCGCAGCACTGCGTCGACTTGGGGAAACTTCCCCGGCAGGGCCTGACTCCTTTGGGGGAGATCTCGGCCAGCTTCCAACCTCCGGCAACGATTCGGTGGACCAGAGTGGCTCTCCACCTCCCCGGCACAGTCGCCAGGCCAGAGGAATGGGTGTGCGCGCGAGTCTCCCAAGCAAAAGCAAACTCCAGAGGAACACGCCTCCCGCGGTCCTCGCCAGGCTCCACAGGCTTCCAGACCGTCCCCTCCACTCTGGGACCGAACTGCAGGGGCGTCCTAGCCCTCCTCCCCTCCAGGGAGCAGCCACCAAACTACGACGCTGCTGCCCCCGCCAGGCCCTGAAGGGCAGGAATCTTTAACTATTTCCTTCCTGAGATAAAGCTGGGGGTGGGTTTAGGAGGGGTAGGAAAGGGAGTGGAGCATTTCAGAGGGCCTCAGAGTTGTGCCTGGCTTTAGGAAGAAACTAAAGGAACCAGGCAGTTAGTACAGGCGGGTTTGATCCGCAGGGGAAAACAGGGCCCAAGGGTCGTGCCTCCTTCGTCCCCTGTCAACTTTGCTTACCTTTGAGGAAGATATGTCCATGGATCAAGTGAACCCTGAAAGACTACACCGCTTAGCTCAGGGCCGAGGGAAGCTGCAGAGTCTGTGGAAGGTAGAGAAATGGTGATGCCCAAGTAATTGAAATGATAATGGGGAGACCACACAGAAGACTTTTGTTTTTATCACAAGACTGTGTCAAGACCTTATGATAAGACAGCGAAGGGGGTTGGGGTGGAGGTAGGAGGAGGGAATAGGAGGAGGGATGAGGGCCAAAGGCCATTGCATGCCAGCAACACCTGGGTTCCTCAGAAAAGGAGGCTTGTCTGTATGCCCCGTAACTCACTGGCTCCCTACAGTAACTGTGGTGGAATCGTACCTCAGTTTGTTCTTGGGCTATTAGGAGGAGTGTGTACGGGACTTACATCCCCCCTCCCCCGGCCCCCAAGGGATTTTTTTTTTTTTTTAGCAACTTCATAGTGTGGTGGCTAGTTTCCAAGAAGAAATATCCAAAGAAGTATAAACTGCCCGCTATGTACAGCCCAGATACTGGCACCAGTGAACTTCTGCTCAGTTCTGTTAGCATCTGATTCCAGATAAAAGGTGTTGATACAGAGAACCCACTTGTCAATATGAGGAGTGTCAAGGAATTCAGCGACCATTTTGTAAAACCATTAAAGAGATAGCTGAATACCACAGTGGAAAGGATCTTAATAGCCTTCTAGCTCTGCTGGACCAGGGATTACCTTGTCCATTAATCAGGCCCACCTAGTTTCTCCAGGCAGGAGCCAGAATCACTGTCTCGGTTTTTACCGCCCTTTGTGCCGACGGCTTGGCAAGCTGACATGACTTCACAGGAAGAAAGTTGCTGCCTCCTCCCAGGAGACGCAGTTTTTAACTTGGTATGTGAAATGTGTTGGACCTGAGGCCCCACTCACCCCAGGGTCAGAAGCTTGAGCAGCCAGCATCTGTGTGACTGAACACAGCAGTCGGTCTAGTCTCTGTTACAGCACCCCTAGTGGTCCCCACCCCTTGCTGGTCCCACCCTGGTACAGAACCAGTCATTAAAAATTCTCTTTCACACCCATTATGATGGTCACTATTTATACACAAATGAAACCAGAAAATACGAAGTGTTGGCATGGGTACTAAGAAGCAAACCCCTGGCTTTTGTGGGCAGGGGTATAAAATAGATCAGTAGCAGTGCAAGCCAGACCAGTGTTCCTCAGGTAGCTAAGCATAAAATTGCTATGTGGTCTAAGATTCAGCTTCTGGAAATGTGTACAAAAGAGGCAGGAGATGCTGGTTTTGTGGACAGAGTGAGGCTGAAAATGCAGAAAGAGAATGGAGATTGGTTTGTGTTCCTTGTAAGGCTGGGTCCAAGGGGCAGATCAACAGGAGGTACCTGCTTGGCTGAAGCAACCTGACCTTACTTCAAGTTAGCTTTTGTGTATTTAGAAAGAATTCAGCCTAACTGGCCTATTTGGGGAGTTTGTTTGCTTGTGTGTAAGTGTCTCTCTCTGTGTGTGTGTGTAGGTCAAAAGGCAGCTTTGGGAAGTTGGGTGTAAGGCTGGAGTGCTTTGTGTGTCCATGATGTTTAACTGATTCTTCAAGAGGTGTCTGTTTACTGACATGTACTTCAGCTCGGGTGAGTCTGTCTTGAATGTGTTTCTGCCTTGTTCTGTTCTTTCTTTCTTTTTTTTAAATTTAAGACTATTTTCACACTTATAAAAGGGACCTAGAATAGTCAAAACCATAGAGAAGGTAGAATTGTGATCCTCAAGGCCTTGGAGGAGGGGAACTTACTGTTTCATATGTTTAAGAGTTTTGGTTTGGATGATGTACAGGTTCTGGAAGCCACACACCACCCCAACTCAGTGCCCATTAACTGTGCACTGGCGAGCGGTTGAAGTGGTAAAGATACACTGTGTATGGTTTGCCAGGAAGAAACAAACCTTCCCGATGTCTAGATAAAAACGCACCTTGCTCGTGTGCCCTGTTATCTATAAAGTGAGTTTACTGCCTCTTAGAAGAAAGCTCTTCAAATCTGAATAGACTGCTTGTGGAAGCTACCAGACCACCAGTTCTCAACCTTCCTAATGCTGGGATCCTTTAATACAGTTCCTCATGTGGTGGTGACCCCCAGGCATAACATTATTTTTATTGCAACTTTATAACTGCAGTTTTGCTACTGTTATGGATCAAGTGTAGTTTTTACTTGTTTTTTGTTTTTGGAGACAGAAGTTTGTCGAAGGGGTTGTGACCCACAGGTTGAGAACCACTGCTCCAGACAGCTCTGTCTTTGAAAAGCTTACCCTGCCCCGTTGGTGAGAGACCACAGATGCTCCTTAGCACTGTAGATTTAGCTCCCTTTTCTGTTTTACTTTGAAGGCAATGGCCCCAGTGAATTCAATTAATCTTTTTTTTTGGCCAAATTTACATCATTTCTGGTTACCCTTCTCCCTGTAGGCAAGACTGTATTCTCACCCCACCTCCTCGGTAATCCCTGTTTAGTCTCCCCAAGGGTATTCAATTAATATATTTAGCCACATTTCCCAAGCTTGACTTTGAAAGGTTGTTTGTTTTCCCTGGAAGAGACATGCAGGTTTGAAGGCTTTCTAGACTACAGGGAAACTTGTTTGCATTCTGCCTCCACTGGTTCGCTAAGTGAGCTTTCCTGTGGAGCCATTTGCAGTGACCCTGCTGGGCAGTGGACCATAGTGATCTAATAAACAGTAACCTCCGTAGGTTAAGACATACTCGAGGCAGCACTCAGCCAACTCTCCGTGTTTCCCAAGGCAAATATTCTTGTAAGTTTACTGCCTGGTTCAGAGCAGCAGCTTCTCCATGACCCTCAGACTCAGCACAGAGCAAAGGTGTGCCTTTGTTGTTTCTTGAGATGCCCCAAGGAAGAAGGACATGAAGGATTTATAGAACCACAGATAAAGGAAGGAAGAAAAAGGGGGACGTATATGGCAACTTGACGCTCAAAGATACTGCTGCAGTCAGTGTTGAGCAGTGAATGTGAGAGATGTGTGTGTGGTGTGTGTGAGACATGTGTGCATGAGAT